GCTGCTTTGACAGCAATGTTGTAATCGTCACGGCATCTGCAGGTGATGAACGTCAATCACCAGCGGCTGCAAAGCTCTGTTTGGGAAGTGCAGGCATGGGAGATAGGGATGCTTTCCCTTGCCATCAGATATGCCATGCGTCGGAACTTTTGCAGGGCAAGCTGGGCCAGGCTCCGCTTAGCGCTGTGCAGATTACTTTCCTACTTCGGCAGGGAAGTCCACCGCTTGTCCTGTGCAGGCTCAGAGCGCTCCACAAATAGAGCAACCTGGAGCCCACAGCGTTTATGCATCCTGGCAGCACGCGCGACGAACCTTCCCAGAGGCAAGTCACATTCGCAAAGGGTAACGTAGGGGCGATGCAGATGTCCCGTAAACGCTTGGCTTGTTCATGCAGAAGCCATCACACAGTGAGGCTGTGAATAGTCCGGTCGGCCATCAAGCGCCAGCCTTAGTACTGTCTCCCGTGAAAAGCTCAATGATTACACGCCGGCCAGAGTAACCAAATAGTGTGACGTCGCACGCTGAGCGAATTTTCATCGGTCCTTGTTCGCAGGCGCAGTGGCTCTAAGGAAATACAGAACAGCGATTTAAGTATCTTCTGGCGGCAACGCTTCTTTCTACCCGCAACTCCCATTACCTTTGTTTCAGCGGATTTGCCTGGTGCCCGGAATCACCGATGCACCCGTGCGGAGGTGACAAGCAGATTCACTCAACACTGTGGCCAAACGATGCATGATCCACAAAGAGGGCACGGCTGCAGACGGTTCGAACAACAATCGAAGCTCCACTTGCCCAAAACCATCCAGACGACGCCTACTGCGCCAAGTTAATTTGGATTCATCTGGTCACATCGCAAAGTTATGGCTCCTTAGCACGGCAACGCACAGCAGATCTTACAGTATCGCCCATGATGTCCAGGACACTTCACCATGTTCAAAGCAGCACTTTGAGCGGCAAGCCTGCCGGAAATGAGTCGGTATGGAGCCTGAATGCTGGACTCGTGACTAGTGTTAACTTCGGAATTCAAAGGGCAACCCATGCCTTGTAGACTTCTTGCATTGCTGCGGTGGTGGCGCTGTTATGGTCTGTCACGGTAGTGGTGCAGCGCAAGGCCTTTGCCGCAGGTGCGCCTTGTGCTGTGTGGCTCCCAGAACAGTCCTACTCGTCTGGATTTTGCACATCATGATTGGGGTTTCGCGTTCCGGTTGGGGCCATGTTTTGGGGCTTTGGCTTGGTCTTAAGTCTTGGATTTTCGGATTGTTCTGGCTGAGCTTCAGCTGAAGCCCAACCCCAAACCCGTCGAACAAAACTGCAAACATCAAGACACAACTTTGGGATTCCTGCAGCCAATCGCTCCCTCTTGGGTTTCCGCTATTTGAGACAAATCCTTTGAGGTTTTGCCGCACCAAGAAAAAACCATTCCCAAGACTCAGCACCAAGCCGAAACTCCAAAACAAAGCCGCAAGAAACACACCCAACGCGAAGCCGACGCACTCCAGACCAAAACCACGCAAACCATGTAACTCCAGACCCAAAGCCCAATCGAGTCTAAGAAACGAAACCCAGTGTTGTAGCTTGGGCTTGTGGTTTGGATGCGGGCTTTGTGGGTGGGGTTCGGGCTTGTAGATTTTGTTGGATTTTCATCTCCTGATTTCATCTCTTATTGCCTTTTGGCAACCAGTCGAATGAGTTTTAGGGTTTAGGCATGTTGGGGCTTGCAGGAATATGCTTCAACCTCTCAGCATTTAGGGTTTCCCACCTTTAGGGAGGGCTTGGGTTTATGACACCCCATGCATCCACAGACGGTAAAGTGGAAAGTGAAAGTATATGTATATATGTATATGTATATATACACACATAATCATAAGTTCACAATTAATTACATACATACGCGCAGCTACGACACACACACACATATATATATATATATATATACACACACACATACATATATTTGTATACATATACATAAACACATATACATACATATGTGTGCATCTTCATTTACAGGTACACGTACATGTAACATAAACAAGGGCATGTAAGCATATCACATGCACATGTACAGATACATATACAGAGACAGATGCAGCGGCATGGACATGGACGGAAAAGACATAGGCATTTGCAGATACAGGTGCAGAGACACGTACATATACGTGGAGACATGTACCAGACCACACACATACATGTTCAGATACAGTTTAGTATACAGACACATCTACAGTGAATCTACAGATACATGCATGCATGCACAAGCGCTAACGCATGTGCGCATGCGTGGCGAAAAACATAAGCAGCAATATCGACATAGAAATACGCACACGTACATATACGCATACAGGTATACATATACGTATGTGCATACACATGTAAACGCATGTGTGCACGTGCCCGCATGCTTCTACATAAAAATTCCCATGTCCACAAACACATACGCACAGACCCGTAAATGCCGGTGTCATGTACGTGCGCATGCAAGTACGGGTACGTATACGGTTTCAGCGACATCAGTTTGTGTTGGCTGTCTCAGAGACATATTTTTTCCAAGGGCGCTACCATCAGAGCTCAATCACCGCCTGGAGCCAGGACCGGGACTGAAGGAAGTATTGCTGTGAAGTCTTTGTAGGCAACCTTGGTATCTCCTGAAACAAATTGCTTTGTAGTGTTTTGGATACCGTTCTGAAGTAAACTACAACTTCATGTACGGTTTCAGTTTACAACTATGGATGCGATTCCGATGTACAGCTACAACTTCATCTGCAGTTTCCGTCTACAACATTCAACTACTCAATGTATAGGCATGTCGTGCAATCTTATGCGGGCTCAGTTTAAATCGTACTTGGACTCGTACCTGGACGGACTCGTACTTTTCAAGTTTCAGGTGCGATCTCAAAATATGATAGCATGTGCGATTCCCAACACAAGTACGATTCCAGATGCGAATGCAGGCTCGGAGTCGAACTGGAACTTGCACATGCGCTTTGCAATCGCACTTGGGTCGTAGTTTGAGCTTGGGTCGTCTTTTGAAGTCGGACTGGAACCTGCGCACGTGCTTTGCATGTGTGTTTGGAATCGTATTCAAATCGCAACAACACATAATCCCGCATTTGCAATTGCAAGCCTTGCCTGCGCACGGATGTCATAAGTGTTTCGTTTTTTCAGGCAAGACGGCAAGCCACGACCCTTAGTTATCTGTTGCGTGGTGATAGTTGCAAAGTCCTTGTCGGGGCCAAATGCCCACGGATCCGGCCAGGATAGCGGATCTTAGGGCATCATGCTGAAGAGGTATCATGCTCATTTTGTCGACGTGGGAGCGTACTGAATCTACAAGCACTGTTTGTAGAATTGAGACATGCTTGGCCAAGGGGGGGTGCCTCGAGAGAGAGAGAGAGAGAGGGATCGAGAGTTGGGGGCACATGCTGTTGATGTCGAGACAGAGTACGCTACGGGACAGGTGTGGTACAAATCTACCAAGGTGGCATCGGCAAGCAACGTCATGGCACCAGCCAATGCCACAACCACGGGGACAGAAGGATGGATCGACCTCAACGCCATCGCGGCCAAGATGCACCTGGCTGTTGCGAATGTCAAGGACGCCTGGCACCCGCTGGGGGCCGTCCTGCGGTGATTCCAAGACGAAGCCCTGGAAGGGGGCACACAGTTTCACAGCCCAGATGGGCACAAGCTGGAATTCGAGCCTTTGATGTGTACCTGGAATTCGGGGGGAATGACACCGCCAAAGGGTGTGCAAGAAGAACCTGCTGAACCAGAGGAGGTGGGGCACCAAACAGAGAGAAACGACGACCTGTGCGAAGCTACGGCGCCAGTAGCCGACAGCGCGGACGCTG